TGGTCGTAACTACGACCATGGCTAAAAGGGTCAAACAGGTGCTGTTGTCTTTGAAGCTATTCCTATCATTCGAAAAATGGAATGTCCCACAGATGTCGCATTCAAACCAGGACACTGCGGAGCTATTGCACGTTAATGAGCAAACTCCTGGCATAACGGAAGATGTGAAATAACTCAAAGAGAACATGTTGCAGCCTTCTACGGCTTCAATTCAATTTTTGGGTGTATCCAATCCGTCCTTGAAGAAGGCGCCGCCGATTACCCTTTTCTTTGCTGTTGTCAACGGTACCGAACATGTGAATGGGACAGGAAAATGTTTACCCTTTCATGTCATATCACACATGGCGTCATCCTCTGAACTGCTCTGGCGTCGCACCTCTGCCAAATGATAACCAATCGGCCAACCAAACCTGACATCAACTTGATACGTCATGCGGAATGAAGAGAAATTTCTTTCAAGCGCAGAGACCAGCAACCAGGTTTACAAAGAGTGATAGTTAGTAATTACTTTTCGTACTTAATTCTGACGGTCCGGAGCACCTTTGGCATACTTCCTGCTTCTTAAGCGTGTTTGACAAATGTGTCACTACTGCTCCGAATAGTTCATAGTAACATGAATAAAATCACAAATGGCAGAATGCAAACGCCGAGGTAAATTTGATGAGGCGCACGTGGCTTGTCCGTGCCAACTTTTTGGACCCAGGAATTTTGGACGTCTGTAATCGATCCAGAAAATTCGCTGAAGCGACATACAATTGAGATGATTTTTTAGCTAACTCACTACAAAGTGAGTATGCCATGTGGGCGATTGATTATGACGGTACTCATAATCATTGCATGGCGTGGAAATACAGGCACCCTATAGCGCTTATCCCTCCGCCACCCGTGATATCAGCAGGTTTTTTCGCAGACGTCAAAAACACTGCCGGTTTTATGGGGTTATCCCCGGGCTATTCTGCATTATTTATTAAGGTGGTAAGTACCCAAACGACACAAGTTCCTTGACACAACCGACTATATCATTACGCTAGATGGCGCAAATAACCATTGCATTTAACGCGCCCTTAAAAACCTATAACGAGCTAACCCTTACCCTAGCATGTAGAGACCTTCACGGATGTGGTTTCCAGTAACGTATTACACTAGCACTAGCGTTACCCGTGGGGCTGTACCCATACCCACCCCTGCTACCTATTTCGAAGCACGCATACCCGCCCGTTTACCTTCATCAGGCGTTCTGGTTCCACGGAAGAGGTGCTAGAAAGGTTACACCTAACCTTGTTTCTTGCGTTGGCAGTTGCAAAAGTAGAGTGATGGAGCTTATCATGATTAAAGGGAGTGTTCCACATTTGTATGGCATTTTGAACTGGGATAGCCGTCTTGAAGACCATTCAGTGCAGTTCACGGCCATGCCCTTTTTAAGGCTTAAAACCTCTCTCGTTTCTGAGCGTGACTCCCGCAACATGTGCAGACTTTTCCACGGTCACCTGGACAAGCATGATGTCACACAAGCGTCATGCAGATATTGCCACCTCACTGGCCATGTGGTGCTCAAGACCAAGCACAACTATGATCATCGAATTTTTCGTGTCCGGTATACGTCAGGACGGTTTTTGGTACCAACATAGATACATACGTACATACCAACATTTGCACATAGAAGACATATTTCACATTTGATGATATTGAAGCAAGAATCAGATATGATGGAACAAACTCACTCACTGACAAGCTTTTATCGCACTTTTAAGAGCAAAGGACCGCTCCAGACAACGCAATTTATCTGTTTAGTAAATAAGCTTCTCAGTACGCAATTGTCTGTTGAGGACATCATACCTGACAGCATTGAGAGATAATGGATGGTTGCTACGTCTGGAACCCGTGCACACGACCGCCAGATAAGAACGACTTGACCATTTTACTTTTTTATATTCAGTACCGCATGTATTATAAAATGGTAGGATTTCAATGAGGTTACTGTGACGTCACAAATGCCAAGGTGACCTCAAAATACGCTCCCCGAAATGCTGTCCCATTTTTGCGAGGGTGCAGCCCAGAGTCTAGAGGACTAGTCTAGAGAAGCTTATCTAGCTATCTGTGCTAGAGAGATAAGCTAGAGCTGGGTCTTCAGCTGATCTAGCTTAAACAAACATACAAGGACAAAACAAAAAAGTAGCAAAACACGCGCGCCTAACGATTGAGTATTTTGGCTTTAACGGGAATGTTTCACATTTGAAGATATTGAAGCAAGCATCAGATATGATGAAACAAGCTCACTTATAACTATTATGACACTTCTAAGCAGAAAAGGGCCCTCTACGCAGCACAATTTCTCTATTAGTAAATATGCTAAAACTTATCTAGCTTGGCCTACCTTCATTTTCAACGCGCTCCGGACGCTCCCTAGCTCAGATCTAATCTAAGTTAGAGAGCTCAGAATATGAGTCTTAAGAAGGGTAGGGCTGTGAAATGCACCGAAAGGTCTTCAAATTGCCTATTTCAGTTCAAGCTCCTCATAAAAATGTGGAACACTCCCATTTAAGGGAGTGGCCCATATCTGTACGGAGTGATCAACTGAAATACCCACTTTGAAGATCATTCGGTGCAGTTCACATTTCTGTCCTTTTTTAGATCTGAAACCGTCATATTCTGAACTAAATGCCCACGAAGATGTACAAACTATTTCCAGGTCATTCAGGCGTGCATGGTGCTACTGAGACATTCAGTTCGTCCCACCCCATTTGACCGTGCGATATTTATGTCCGAGGAGAGTACAGTCGTCAACCTGTTCATGTCTTGCGTTCGTAAGCACGGTTTAAAGATATCACGTAGTTTTATTGGCTCTCGGATAAACGTTGCGCAGACGACGTAAGATTAAAATACGAATAACGTTTTGTGGTGCATATACAAGAAGCTGGACATGGGTGCTAGATATTATCGAAATAGGACTTGTAGTCGAGTAACTTAATAACATAACTGAGTATGTGAATACAAGCAAACGCCCTAAGCTGACGGATAAATACGCAAGAACACCACGAAAGCATGCCAAAACACGAGCACAACACGACAATTGGTTTAACAAACATCTCCAGCACCACCTTGGACAACTCCCGGGAGATTGGACTACCACAAGGGAGTGTCAAGTTGGCAGTTTCGCACGGTCAGTTTGGAAGCACCTCAACGTCAAACGACCATGGCATGACGCAATCGAACAATAATGTGTTAATGAGCATACATATTAAAAAGGGAACTTTATTGTCGAGATGAGTCTTTTCCACTTAAAAGTAAACCAATAGGTGTAAGTGGGATTATGTCATTTTAACTAATGCTTGCTTCGACATCTTGAAGTGTGGGACATTCCCTTTAGAGAGGTCCAAGCAGAAGTATTGTGTAGTGTTTCCCGAAGTATGAACATATGTATCAAGAAGGCCTATCGGTGCTCATGGCCGTAATTTTACCGAACTTTTTACCGAACCTATTCAGTAACCCATTCAATGTGGATACGCATGGCTTCACCCAGCCCGTAAAATTCTCTATCAGGTTGTGCAAGCAGTGATCCAACAACATCGGGTTCTGGAAATTAAGTGCAAACCTACCGAAAAGTGGCATCATGCGTTCAAAAATCAGCGACGCGATATTTCAGCCGCCCACAGCACCACCCCCCCCCCCCCCCCCCCGCCAGCAGAAGCACCGCCCACATGGGCGTCCGATGGATAAAAACCGCTTTAACGCGCTCCAGGCGTTCCGGTCTCCGAGGACCTGACCTCACGGCGGTCGGTGTTTCGCACCAGACGCTAGCAGCCAAGGTCAACATCGGCGCCAGACGTTGAGTGCCGCGGGAAGCTGTGACCTGCCCACTGTTGGTGACTTCTGGGGCTTTTCTTTTTTGGAGATTTGCACGCTTATACGTCATTGGCACGTCATGAGTACTTGATGCATGAAGGCCGACAGATGGCAGTTGGCGCGGTGCTCCCAGTGCAGATATGATGGACCTGTATCAACACATAAGTCCCTCCCTCCCCTTTTCGAAAGCTTTTTAAAGTAATGGCTGCCACTTCCTTGAGTTTGACCTGAGATGGAAGACGACTAAGCGAAATTTTGTTGGGAACGCCAAAGATCGTCTGACTATTCCTTCTTCTAAACTGGATTTAATTCTAAGATCGCAGAAGCATAACCCACCGACATCAGAATGTAAACATGGTTCAGTGACCTAATTGTGACATCGTCGGTAGTTTCTAGTGGGCGCAGAGCCTCGTCGCCAGTGCGAGAGTTTATTCAGCATCGGCTAAAGTAAACAAGAAACCGCTTCACCTGCTGGCTTTCGGAAATCATCAGTTCCGACGTTCAAAAAACCGCTTTACCTCGTGTGTGCTTTTAACCCCAAGGCAGAGGCGAGCGCCGTCGAACCTGCCGCCGACACCCAGATGAGCTCCACGATTGAGCGCGGCCGGGGCGCGTGCGGTACCGCGTCGATTCCCGGGCGCTCTCGCGGGCGTCTCGTCAGTCGGAGCACGTGTCGCCGGCGGCGATCCGCTGCACCTGCTCCCGGGTCACGGCGGGCTCGCTTTGAAGCGGGGTCCGCCGCCCGCCGACACTCAAGCTGTGTGGAGTGGGTTTCGGTACGACCCGGGCATGTCAAACATCGCGCCAGCACCGCACGGTCGTGCTGGAATCGACGGTGTGAATGATGCGATAGAGTTATCGAGTTGATGTTTTGAGTTATTTGGTATTGAGCTGCTTGGCATGCGCATGCGCAGGCTTGCGCTGGGATTCTTGCTCTAGGAATGCAACTGGGCGGGCAAAGGAAGCATCAGACACTCCATCTTGGTAGCATATCTGTTTCTGACAAGTATTAAGCAAGAGTCGCTTTACTGGGGCTGTCCGAGAGTCACTAAGTGATCGCAAAGTCTGGCAAAGTAGTTCACAAATTTCGTGACTGCGCTGCCTGAGTCGGTCAGCTTTCTGCGGAAGTCTCTTATCATACAGATGACTGAAAGATGTTGAACACCTTCACATGTATTGCACTGTCTCCTTTAAACTCAAAGCCATCAGCTGACGCCTGAGCTCCGTCAACCGCCCGCATCTGACCACGCTCTCACACCATCCACAACGTCGCACAGGATTGCCGGCGGGCGCAAGGAAGAAAGCAAAACGTGTCGAGATCAACAGGCCATGTCGGGTGGGCTCGCAACACACAGCTGCATGGCGTCCAAGACAGGCTGTGCCAAAGATCAACATGTTGAAGCTGAGCACACTGGAGTGGCATCCGTTTTATGATAGGGGTGTAAGCCATAGTGCTGTAGTCCAGCGCGTCGAAGCAGGAAGTGTCAGCGTAGCATTGTTTCATTGCTCAGCGCTTGTTGAAGTCGAAAAGCTGTGTTTTGTGTAATTTAGTTTTTTCCCTTGGTGTGGAGAAGAATAAGAAAATGCTTCCTCTAACTCAACGCTCACTTGAAAGTTACGTCGTGTAGCACGAGTGCATGGATTACGTCTGCCGCCTTTCTGCACGCACAATGTTGCTTGTGGCGACATGTACCGACACTAAACAAAGCATTGGTGCAGGTTTAAAGCGTCACTTCAACACATCATGACTAGAACTCCCTGATCTCCGAGCCAGGCATACCAGGACTGACAGCGTGTTCAATTCAGTGGCACGCCGTCGCCCCAGCGCCCTCCTGCACGAGGGAGCTGTCCAAGGCCGCTGCCTGTCACATAACAACCAATCCACCGTGAACTGACGTCTGGAACTACCACATAAACCGACGACGCAGCCAAGGAGCGCCGAAGGCGTGGACCCCTCCCCCAGCCCCTGGGAGTTGGGAGCGCTACAGGCGTCCGAAGGGTGCCGGAATTTATATGGTATGAATATTTATCTTTGATCTAAGCAGGAAAGGCCGCAGGTCCTGGTTTTTCGGAGTTGTCAGCTCAGAATTTTTTGTTGACGATTATCGAGCTTCAATTTACCGCGAGGAACTGGCGAAACAATGTACACGAAGACGAGTATTGCCAGTATAACCAATGTTTGCGTGGTAACGTCGTTGAAGCAATGCCTCGTGGTATAATGCAGGTCCATGCTGTCAGCATAAGAATCCTGAACTCGTAATACTTTTGCGAGCTTTAAATTTGCCAATGGTGACTGGACTCTCTGCACGATATTCAAAAGCATGTTGGGGCTCTGGATTGGATAAGAGGCCCGTGGTGATATAAAATGGTGCCTTTGTGCAAACCAGTGTGAGCTAAATCCGATGACAGCAGATTTTGAGGCCCTTCAGTGAAACCGTGGGAAACCTCAGGTTGCCGCGGCCCTAAAAAAAACTCGCCCCCTCCCCCCCTCCCTTAGCAAGATCCTGGCTGCGTGCTTGACTAAGCCATCCCCCGAAGCACACGAGGGCTTGATGCCGCATTCCAGAAGCCGAAAACCCCGGCGTCCAAAGCCGCACCCACACCCGGCACATGTACGGCCGCCACAGCACCTCACGGCTACGCGTCTGTCGACTCGCAGGCGCTGTCTGTCGACCGGAGGCGTCCGCCCTCCTCCCCCACGTGCCGCCGCGCACGTAGCTCAAGTGCCGCCACGCACGTAGCTCAGGTGCTGCCGAGCACATGGTTCAGGTAGGCGATGTAGCAGACGGCCAGCTTGAGGATCTCGATCTTGGAGAGCTTCTTGTCCGGCGGCAGCGTGGGCAGCAGCTTGCGCAGCTCACTGAACGCCGTGTTGAACGCCTCGACGCGCACGCGTTCGCGCGTGGCGTGCGCCAGCCGGTACTTCTGTGTGGCGCGCCGGCGGCGGCGGCGCTCCTCCCGCGAAAGCGCTGCACCGCTGTCGGACAGGGCGGCGGTCAGCAACGCGTAGGTAATAACTCAGCGGCGCACGGGCAAACCAAACGGCTGGGGCCCTTTCAAAGTCGCCCGTTTCAGGCGTCGGGTAAGATTTGGTGTCGAGATATAGAAGTGTATGAATCAGGTGGAGCCTCGCATGCTGTTCGTATGTCTATGCGACATCTGGTGCTGGGGTGGTGAGGTCGCCGCGTGCGGTTGATGTGGGCCCTGAGCACAGGTCCTGAGCACAGGTCCGGGTAAAGAGCTGTCGTACTTTGGCAGAACTCGCCACCAAACCGAAGTCCAGCATCTCATGTCATATCGACGCCTAGAACTTGGCTTGTCCGAAAAACGTACCAAGCGACCTTAAAAGAAGTGCATGCATGTCAAGACATTGAATGGATCAAGGCATACAAAATTCGCCGGCCTACCTCTTTTTTCTGTCGAGCGGGTACACCGTGGGTGACGCTGATTCGTGGGAGCCAATGCCGGAAGTGGTGACGTCACAACTGTCTTCCAATTCCAAATCCAGGTTGGATGTCCACATGCTCCTGTGGCGAGGTAGCACCGACAGCGATCTGAAAGCACAACACACCTTCCGCTCAAGCCACTGACAGCAGCTACTCAACGCTTAACATGCTTATGTCGAGCTTTTAAGAATGCTGCACTTAAAGAGGATTTTTTCATGCAATGCTGCACGGAATGATGATCTCCATGCAACGCTGCACGCTGAGCGTCTGCATGAAAAGTGAACGCAACGTGCGACAGCTTAATTCCAATGGCGTGCATTTTTACGATCGTGCATGGCATAAGCCACGCGGCCGTAGTCGTGATTTAAACGATTGGCGACTTTTTTAACAGCCATATGTCTATGGAGAGCGGAGCTGTATGTAAGCCCACCGGAAGTCCTATGTGTTAGGTGTGTCATGCCATCAGTCATGTTAGTCTTTGTCAGGACGGTCGAGCGGGTCGCTCGTTTAAACTCCAAGCTGCTAGCAAACGCCTTGTAAAATCTTTTCAAGGCACCTTGCAGCTCGCTGGAAATGACTCCGTGGGCACTTCCGAAGCCCTATATTGCTTCACAGCTGGTGGGTCCACGGGTACGTACTCGCGGATGTGCCAGACTTAGACCGACTGGAGAAAACCACCCCAAGAAACACTACCGTAGCTATCGCCGGATCATTCTACTTCGGAAATTAAACACAACATATTGGCTGCTCTCCCACATGTTAAGCCCCCGCCAAAAAGTTTCCTTTATCCCCCCGCAGACTTGCGTTACGTCTGCGCTGAAGACGAGCGGCAGCTGGGGCTGCAAAAGTTTGCAATTATTTTTTTCTTAGAACGAAAAGAACACTCTGATATTGGAAGCAGTCAAAAACTGCAGCACGTCGAAACCTCTGAACCGTTGTCGTTTTTTGCGTCCTGTCTTGGGCCGCCATGTTATGGACCAAACCACATGTGTAGTGGCAGTTTGAGTGGTCGATTCGTTTTTCATGATGCTCATCGAATTTGTGTTTCTTTGTTCACAGTGAAGTTTTGTGCACCTGGGGAAGGCTCAATGACTCCATGTCCCGCGTCATATAGACGGATACGTTTGATGTGACAAAATGCCCGACACAGAGGTCTGGTATTGTCAAAACGGACACCATATGAAATAATCGATATACTCTGGAGTTGTGCTCTAAAACACCATGTTTGGAAGCCTTTCACCAACACAGTTTTCATGTGAATGCAATTTTTTATTTGAAAGCGGTCTTGGCGATGGGTGTGACATTCTGCGTATCGAAACATAACGCAAGAGCATATACACGAACTTAGATGCTCTGGCCCACCTCTTGCGAAAGGCTTAAAACAATGGGCAGGCACCCTTATCCATGCCAGTTCTATCATGTATTACGTGCTTCCTTCTTCACCTCAAATGGGCGTTTTCCACCAAAATGATGAGAACGGGCACGAATTCCAATTCAGTCCTATGCAAAGGAAGAGGAAGGATGTCCCCATTGACCAGCCGAAAGCATGACTAAAAAGCGCTAAAAACTCTTTTCGTCAAAGAACGCAAGATATGTCACGCACAATGACAAAACCGAACACAATCCGTGGCAGCATACCCGAACATCGCCGTTGTTCTGTGTTGCTACCACTCGCTTTGGTAGCGTCCGTGGGTCTGTGGACCAAGCTGCGCCTTGTTATATGAATGATAAGGGTCCTCTCACCTCAGGACTACGGACTGAGAGTCAGACAGCTGGTTTGTGAAGCGTGTCCCGACTTTTTTAAAAGACAACGGCAGAATGAAGATTTGCCTTCTGTCATGCAGCGCAGTTCTGTGCAGACACTTCGTAATCAGGCTTACAGCAGAGGAGAAACGTTTTTTCGCTCGTTTGAAGGCAACAGCACCTGACGAGTGCCTCGCAGAGCTGACCCGTGAGGAGGGCCTGGAGTCATCTAAGGCAACCAGCATGGCTACGGCGCGCCATGTTCATTAGGGTAGCCTCGACAGCCCGGGGCGGAGCCCAGCGCTCAGTCAGTGGTCGCGAGCTCAGGAGCGCCGCTGGCGCCGGAGCCCGCTGGTGGCTGGATCGCGCGGATCGCAGCCCCGCCGGGACAGGTGGTGTGAACGGCCCCGGCAGTGGACCGGTGGACCGCCTCACACTGGGTCACGTGACCGGACGAGCGGTCGACGGGTCACAGCCCGGGACACCTCGCCGGGCCCGGAGGACTGCGCTGAGGGACGACGGTGAAGTCCTCTCCGCTGCTGGTCATGTGTGTGTTTGGGGGGGGGGGGGTGAGACATACGAAGTGCCAGTGCCCAAACGAATTCGTGGGCAGGCACACCAGGTACGACTGGTCTCCTCGCCAGTTCCCAAAGCTTCCATTCATGGTTACGCAGTCAGCGGTTGCTTACTGAACCCTGGTACTAAGAGCTTGAGGGTGCGAGGGGCGCTGGTATCCACAACGCTGACAGATTCACCGTCCGTAAGTGTTTTCTCATGCTGCCAGCTAAAGCTGATCTTTCGCGATTCTTGGTTGTCTTGCGGCACGGGCTTTCCATGATCGATGAATACCGTGATTCATATCCCTTTTGCATAGCATTCTTTTAATTACTTTCGGACGTATCAAAACATCAACCGACGGGAAGTGGCTTAACGCGTCCAGCAAGCAATGCCAATGCCCAACAGTGCAAGCCTTATTTGTCGGCATTTGACTTGATCAACTCATCTTTGCAAAACGTGATATTGCGCCAGACCTATTTAAGGTCGCAGCTAAAGAGCATTACCATTTGGCCGCGATATCAAGCCAATGGACATGGTGCCTACTGCGCCAAGTGTGTTTCGAAGCTTGGCAGTATAAGCCAAGAGTGTAATAGTTAAACAAATGCATGCAACTGTCCTGAGGCATCGAAAGCACGCATTTACCAGCGTGCGCATAAACTTACACCCAGCAAATCAACGCGCTACATTATGTCTAGTCAGTTGCCGTTTTTTATAAGCTAAGGTCACATATCACTTGTTTAAACAAGTACCTCCAAAGCGCTACATTGCAGCGCTACTTTGTACGCACACATATGAACACCTGCACCCGGAAGCACACAGAAGCGGACGATAGTCCGAACAATAATTCCACCCATGATAGCTTGTCAGGTAATTCCCTTCAAGTCGGGTAATTCCCTTCATGATCACTTTACGCCACCGAAAAAGCACGAGTCTCGTCGAACAGGCCTGATGCGAGTGTCACGCTTCAGTCTGCAGTACACCTTGCTACTGCCGGTGTCACGCTTCGGTCTGCAGTCCGCCTTGCTACTGCCGGTGCGAGTGCCACACTTCTGTCCGCAGTCCGCCTTACTACTGCCGGTGCGAGTGTCACGCTTCAGTCTGCAGTCCGCCTTGCCACTGCCGGTGCGAGTGTCACCTTCAGTCTGCAGTCCGCCTTGCCACTGCCGGTGCGAGTGTCACCTTCAGTCTGCAGTCCGCCTTGCCACTGCCGGTGCGAGTGTCACCTTCAGTCTGCAGCCCGCCTTGCCACTGCCGGTGCGAGTGTCACCTTCAGTCTGCAGTCCGCCTTGCTACTGCCGGTGCGAGTGTCACGCCTCAGTCTGCAGTCCGCCTTGCCACTGCCGGTGCGAGTGTCACCTTCAGTCTGCAGTCCGCCTTGCTGCTGCCGGCCGGGACTTCCGTGGTAGTCTTGAAGTCGCGCACATTGACGTGCAAGCCTCGCTCACGAATATGCAGACGTCCAACAGCATCTACAGCTACATAACGTCGAACTCACGCCGATTAGCGAGCCTTTGATATTGGCTTTCGATATTGAACAAAATAATGTTGGTGCCCGTCAAGGTCTTCCCACGAGGCAGAGCAAGGGAGCGGGATATTACGATTGATTTTTGTGATGCCAGTGGTAAGAAGAAAACAAATACTTCACCACACTGATGAACGATGGAACCAAAAAGGCCCGCTGCAGTTGGCCATGTGAATTGCCTTGTGCCACTTCCACAAACACCGTTTTGTACTAGTGCTTATTTGTGCACGTGACAAACGCAGCTTGAAGACATCTGATTGTTGTCAGCTCCTAGTAGCCTGTGCCACTAACACATGCTGTTTCCTCAGAGTGGTAAGTACGTAACCAAAACACTCCCCGTATTACCCCAGAACACGCTCTTGACATTTCATATGCACTACACACCATCTGAGTGTGACCCTCTCCAGCGTAAAAGAAAGCATCTTATAACTTTTCCCAGTCAAACATGCGTCGTGAATTGTCAAATAACGACAGTTATTCTCCAGCTGAACAGTTACAATTAGCTGGAGCGAGCCAGAAGAGCAACAAACCTGGGACCAGTGTTGGATTTAGAGGGGAGGGGAGGGCACGGGGCCATGGTCCCGTCCTCTTGGGTCCCGAAGGGGCCTATAAGATCCGAAGGGCCCATTACCGGCTAAACAGACGCAGGTTTTTAACCCCTTACCCATCCCCAAAAAAGAGATGTCTTTGGTTTTTTGGCGAACAAGAGCAGCCGCAAGCGAAAGTGAAGGGTACAAGTCAGGCAAAACTAATGATTAGGAAGGCAATAATTGGGAAAGTTTTAGAGCCCATTACGCCGCCCAGATGCTCAGCGTCGTTGCCGGAGGTTTCATATCTCCACTTGCCGGATTTATCCGATCGCTAAAGGACCTCTCACATTCCCCTTCATGTCTTACTATTTTCTCAGAGGGCCATGCGCTGTAGCCGGAGCCCCATATGCTAACCTGTCGGGGCACTCTTGATCGGTTAGGGCGCTCCACGAATGCTTCCCATTTTCCCGAAGGCCCTGTGCGCTATTGCCTGTGCCCCATATGCTAACTCACTGGGCATCTCGGCCGCTCATGGGCCCTTCACTTTGGTCTCAGGTTCTTCCCACTTGTTCGGGGGGGGGGGGGGGGCCGCGTTGTTACTGGGGGCTATATCCGTGGGCCTCTACATAGGTCTAGGGCTTTTTCCATTTGGTCTCGTTCGCGGAGGACCCTGCACTCCTGTCGGCGCTTTTTCTGCCAACCCGCCGGAGCACTGTTGGTCGCACAGGGGCCCGACTCACTGGTCTTGGACACTTCATATTGGCTCAGAAGGCTCTGTGCTGTCGTCTGGGAACCATATCCGTTCATCTGCCTAGGCGCTCTCGGTCGCTCGGGGGCACTAATTCCTGTACACTGGTATCGGGTTCCCCCCGTTTGCTCTGCGCTCTGGTCGGTGCCCTAGATGTTAATCTGCCTGGGTACTCCGGATCGTTCAGGGCCCACCACGTTCGTCTTGGGTTCTCGTTTGCTCAGAGGACCCTGCCCTGTAGACGGTTTCATCCTGGTTGACCTGCCGCAGCACCTTCCATCGCTCAATCACTAAGATGCCGCCCCTATTGGTCAGCGGTTTTCCAGATTATCAGAGGACCTCCGCCGTTGGCGGGGCCCGAAATGAAATCGATCTGGGCATTTATGATCGCTCAGAGGCCCTCTTCAGTCATTTTTGGTTCTTCCGATGAAGTCAAAAGGACCTTGCTCTGTTGCCGAAAGCTCCTCATATGCTTATGGGCGCCAGCACTTTCGTCACGCACGCTGTTTCGCTTGCTCGTGTATACAGGTTTAGCAAAATCTTCAACTCTAAGATCTGCATGGTGATGATCTTCCTCCGCGACTTAGCCGCAGAGTGAAGCAGCTGGATATGTTCCGATGATTTTTTACGTGCTTGACATAATTGTACAAGCCGTTGGGATTGTAATATGTCATTAACGTTAGATGCACTATTTGTAACACTCATTTTACTCGTGCATCACGTTTTTAACATATCTGAAGGGTAGCATATTTCGTACTCCTTCATGCAGTCAAGGTAAAAGGTGAGAGCAGTCAAGGTAAAGGTAAAAAGGATTAGTCACCACGTGATCACAACACCGGCAGGCTAGCCACTGGACATCTGCCACTCGCATCTCACCTTGGGATCAAGGTTCGTACGTGATTTTGGTGTTATTTAGCAGCCAACTTTAACTTACTTGCTAAATTTTCTCTAAAATACTATCCTTGTCCCAAAAAACTCAAAATGACGGAATCAACCATAATTTGGAGAAAATGAGCGCGCTCTATGTACATACGTGCGTACTACGCCTAGTTTCCTGGAGCCGCGCACAAAAAGATGGCTTATCGTATACAAAATAGCATGCGTAAGAGTCTTAACCCTCGCCTTGCTAGGGCGTCGATGTGATATATGATATATGATATATGTCGTCGTCGATATAACCCCGTAGGTTATTTTTGAATACGTTCCCAGCATCCTGTGCAATAGCACCAAAATTTTCAGCAGCCTATTTAACATCTGTTGCGTGTGTTTTGGCACCAAACACGTGTTCCTAGCCCTTTCTGGTTATGAAGCAGCGGCAGTTTTTGAGGAATACTGCACGACGATCTATGGCCGGCGCGGGTGCAGGGCGGCAGCCAACCATACCGCGGAACGCGCGCGGTGAGCCGACATTGTTACCTTAACAGAGCCATATATCATAAATATATGCTCCAAACACATCTAAATGTAAACCATTGTATTCAGAATCAAACAAGAAGCGCGCCAGTATAGGTTTCGTGTCGCCACGACGCATAATCTCGTAGGCATGATGTTAAGCTGAGAACGTGCGGTTTTATGGACATTGGACCTTTGACCTGGCATCATGCAGTCAATCATACACCAAAGAACACAAAAACTAGGATTAATAGCAAAATAACGTTGAAAACAACGCACTGGTGTTTCCCACCCCACTCAATGTTCATTAATTTAGGAAGGCCAGGGATCGCGTCCCTCCCAATATATATCCGCGTTTTGAAAACCGGCGACTCAGGGCGAGGGTTAAGTGAGATTTAATAACTCAAATCCAGCGATATTTTGAGAAGGGCCTGAACTACAGGGGGCCAAACATTTTACGTAGTCCCCAATTTTAAGGGATCCTGGATCCGCCACCACCTGGGACCACCGAGATCACAACGAAAGATACAAAATTGCATGCTACGAGTTAACTGCCTAAGTTATTCAACCGGACCAATTGTTTCTAAGATCGGAAACGGCTACAGCATAAACAATTATTTCGCATGTATCCTTTGTCACACAGCATGGCCTGAGCTTCGCGCTTGCCAAAAATGTAACGGTAGCCGATCTTGCCATTTACCTAGCCTGTTCATGACGTTGAAATATGTTGCAGGAGTTTTTCAATCGGCAAAACGGTGCTGTCTGGTTGCCCGTCGTAAAGTTTTGTTCACGGTAGGTCAGGTGACCCTCACCCCAGTGCGCTGGGGCGAGGCCATGCCACTACTTTGGTTTGGTCTGATCCAACCTGGCCCCTCGCCGACTTTTCGCATTCGCGTTGGTAGCTCGAACACACACCGCGCGTAGAGGCACTCTCAGCGCGGAGTAGTGAAAAGGCGCAGCCAGCAAGGTACCAGCAAAGAGTACAGGCGTTTCATGAAATCCCTTTAACATCGATGTATTGGTGTGCGTTGGCGAGGCATCATGCTGTCTTGCTGTTCTTCAAGCATAGCTATTGATCAAGATCGGGGATATATTACACGTCATTTCTTACTCCCCCCCCCCGCCCACCCCCACCCTTCTCCCTGGTTTTCTACGTACCAAAGCTCGCAGATGGTTTGCACAGGCCACTTAAGGCTTTATTTCCCCTAATTCTTTTCAGTCTTACGCTTTGCCAGATGAAATTTTGGTATCTCCATCTTTGCGCCAAGAAAAAAATACAATTCAGCAGCCCAGCATTCAAGTGGTCGCTTAGACGGAATGCTCCACATGGAAGATATGGAAGCAATCATCAGATATGATGAAATCAGTTTACTTATAACTACTGTTTTCCACTTTTAAGTGGAAAGGCTGCCCTAGACAAGACAATTTCTGTGTGCAGTAGTATGCTCATCCATCCATCATTGTTTGATTACGTCATTGTACCCTGCACAGCTTTGACTGAGAGTCAGTTGACGGCCGTTCTATCTGGATATCGTGCCCACAACACCATCGCCAGATATTAATGACTCGAATATGATATTTGTTGGCACTGATCAACGCATAGCCAATTGAATGACAGGATTTGGGTGACGTTAATGGCATCATGGATGCCTGGCTGACCTTGAAATAGTCTCCCCGAATTAGTTTGCACGATCTCACGGGCGTGCAGCTCAGAAACTAAAAGGGCTTAGGTCTCAAGAAGGGCAGGGCTGCGAACTGTACCGAGTGGTCGCCGGAACGGCTTCTTCGTTCCAAAGCTCCATACAAATGTGGAACACTCCCTTATATCATCACATATTCTTTCATCATTGGGCTGAGACACCCTTCATAGTCTTATGGGTCTCACTCGGGTTTTTCTCTCGGTTTAGTCGCCCTGGAACCTGAGCTGGACCCTGGGCCTGGGATCCGTCGAAAACAGGGGACGGAGAGTTTACGGTTACTTCGTTAGCATCTCGAATTCATCCTAAGGTCACCGACAGAGAACTAACTTAAAAGAAGGTACGACCCACTTTCCACGGCACCCCCTCATGAATCTGGGTGCATCACCGATTGGAACCCGGCACAATGTACATGAGAGTACATGCACGCAAAGTTCTTAGTTTACCTGCAGATACGCGTCCATTGCGACGAACACACCCACGCAAAGTTCTCAGTTTACCTGTAGCTATGCGTCCATTACGACGTTGAGATCAAAAGACGCTGTCGCCGGTGAGCACCCGCCTACCAAGCACGCGCTTCTCTAGTCGCACTCACCAACACTGAGATGAGCTGGGACCAGCCTCCGGCCGATCGAGATCTTCCCAGGTTGCTCCGCCCACGTCCGGCCCGTCAGCCAATGGCAGTTCGAGGAAAGACGCGCCCAGCCCGCCCGCCGCGTTAAAGTAAGATGGCGGCGCTTATCTACAATCGATCTCCGTAATGAGATAGGCCGGGCTCATTCGTCTTCTCTGAAAGCCACGGTGCGAGTTCTGAGGTCGCCTCACGCTGGTTGTTGGGTAAGTGCATCTTTTAGTGCACTTTTGGCCAGAATTTCGGTTCAGAAAGAGCGGCTATGTTTCATTGTTCTGGTCCGTACATTGCGGCAGCCGAGGACATGGATAGCACCAAGACTTTGACGTGAACTCGCATTCTTTTCATCGGAGGATTTTTGTTGACCAAAACTCATAGCCGGTGCCGTTGTTTCTTCTCAGTGTACTACACTGCTTGACGGACAGCAACCAGCCCAGGTGCGCACTTGTGCTTGCCAAGCCAATCCAAGCCAAAATCAACAGTAAGTGGCAAGGGGGTAACAAGCGTCTATTGTATTCGAACTACCGCGCTGCCGATGGGGGAGCTACTCATTCACTGTTGTTGCCTTCCATCGCTGTTATCACCTTCGGTGGCTTCTAGACACAGTGCATGCAGACTTGGGGAGGGACGGACGGCCTCAAACTTTGCTGACAAGTGAGGAAAGGTGAAACCGTGCGATATATGAGTATGTTGGAAAGTTGACGGGTACATATCACATACGTCATCGCACATACGAAAGTATTGATATCTGTATGTGTTCCGTATTCATTGTCTTCCGAAAGCTGGCGGTATCCCGCATTTTTTCACAGATCAGTGAAAATGAGGTAGCCAAATGGAATGATGCAAATGGGGTGTACTGGGATACAGTTCCGACACTTTGGGTGACAGTGAGCGCAGCACAGGACACTAGTGTAGCATATAAGTTTACTAAGACAGTTCAATAATGGTTTTGAGAGATGTTTGAGGCGATATTCCCAACACTGGAATCTGACTCCTGGAATAGTGTGCTGCCGATCGCCGCGCAAACAACAGCAAAACAGACATGTACCTGTTTGGCATGCATGCTGCCTTAAAAAGCTCAAACCGCGTTTGATAATTTTTTGACCAGCTGATCGCAAGACAGGTTTAGGCTTGCCTATCGATCAGCACTTAAGCATGGAAAAGCAGACAGCAAAGGCAGTGTGGCTTAGCAAAGGTTCCTCCTCACCATAAAAGCTCAACAAAACCCTTTCTATGCCCAGGGTAAAAATGTTGCCCAAGGTCTAGTGCTTCCCCATATCACGTGCGATTTGGCCTATCACGGCCTGGGCTCTACCAACGTGTCTCTGGCGCTACCGCATTGACAAGCTCCTCGACTTTCTAACGGCCTTTGTGGCAAAGAACGTAAGTTCGACCACATCACGGCGGTACGCCGGCGGCTCAACTGCATGCCTTTCCATGCAGTCATTCGGGAAGGAGACTGTGTCGCTGCCTACAGACTGGACCACCGAGGGAACGCACCATACAACCTGAAGTCCGTCGTAGAGCACCGTTCCGAGCAGCTCGAGCACACCATCCTTGCGTCCACTGAGTGGCCCCTGGACGCACGCCGCTGTAAATGGTACCACTCAGAGAACTATGTCATTGCGTTCCGTTCATTCTTGGAATGGTCCCTCCCGTGGCGGGCGGCAGACCGGCCGCTACGGTGAATTCGAGAGTGACTTAGGGCTGCGCCTGTACTGCGACTGAAATTTGAACCCGTTACGGGTATTAAGTTACTGTATGCATGTTTGCCTTCAAACTCCTATTGCGAAATGTGTGAGATCATTGCGTGCATTTTACGGCATTGTTCAGGGTGTGATCTGGTATCTTGCGAATAACAAAACGCGTTTTCATCATGAAAGTGTCTTGACAGCATGCATATCGCTGTGGTGATAACAGTCAGCTTCGCTGAAACCACAACGTTGCGATGAAAAATTACTAATACCATCTTGACAAGCATGTACGGCACAAAACCACATATCATAAGATTTTTTTCCTTTTTCATTTTCATTTTCGTCTTCATAAAGATCGGCATCAGCGTCGAATAACACTAACGCTGCTAGTCGACAATACATTTCCTTCTAGAAGTAACCTCAACGTCAGAAAACTAAGTCACACTGACGTCGCCGACACGCGCGGGCAACACTCTATTGCTGCCTTTTCTGCGCGATGGAGTTACTTGACCGGCCATATCGTAGCAATGTTGCACTCAGTATTTCTCCCAGAAGGGGGTCAAAACATTGCGTTAGGGGGCCTGTTCAGCCGAGGGCCCTCGCTTCGCAGTTATAGATCCTTGCTTCCGTGTTGGAGTAGCTTTTTAGGCGCGGGATCCCATTTCCCACACCTTGTTTATTACACCTATTTTTGTATTCATAACACCATCTTTTTAGTTCATACGATAGAGGTGAACTGGATGATAAGTGAACGATCACACCCTATGCCGCTATTTAGGCACTGAGGACAAACTATATGCTCCAGGGCTGTCAAAAAGGTATGCCGGAGCTAAGACAAGGGTTAGCACTTATTATATTAGATGGCAGATCAGATTTAGGTGCGTAATGTTCAGGTTAGATGCATAATGTACTTGATATGATTGTTTAGTTCGTTCCAGGCGGCTATTTGCAGCACTCAGTTATTTCGCTTTCTAGCAGGGCCTGTCTAGCAGTGTCCGTCCAAGCCGGCTGTTTTCTAAAAAAAAATCACTGCACCAACGGCGATTGGTCTGAAGTTGCGGGCGCGAACGGCTCCAGGCCTGCTCACGAAACGCCTCGGACATCCACGAGCGGGGCTGGGCACAGCGACAGGCCTCCGCCGCGGAACACCAGTGGTAGCAGCTGAAACCGTCCACCTCCGTCGAAGATTGGCGTTGTCTCGCCGTGCAGCGTGGTCGACGACGCCTACCAGCTGTGGCTCCCAGCCGCTGCGAACTGCTCAGGGTCTCCCCTAATCACCGATGGGACGTCTCCAGGCTATTAATCACGGCTGTCAGGCTGTCGATGGCGGCATACAGTCTCGGCTGACCGGCGGACGGCGGAGTGGGCGGCTGTGCCTCGGGCTCCGACACCGAGGGGGCGACGGCGGCGGCGGCGGCGGCGGCAGCGGCGGCAGCGGCGGCGACGGCGGCGGCGGGGCGTGAGGCCTCGAGGAACCGATCGGCCGCCTGAGCCAGATTGTCGAGGGATGTTGATTCTGGCAGCAGTGCTAGGGCGGCTCGGTCTGGGGAAGCCGCTTTAGAAAAGCGTTCGCAAGAGGGCGTTGCCGGTCGGGGCATCACGGGCCGCCCAATGTACGCGCATGCTGCATAGTAGTCGGGAAGGAGCCTGATGCCCGAGCTGCTGATAACGCAAGAGAGCCTCCAGACGGCTGTCGCAGGACGTGACCAGCTGCTGCCGCAGGGCAACGCCAGGGCTATGCAGTCATTGACTCTCCAATGATAACATCGCGAACTGGACTGGCCACGGACATCGGAAGATTTCCAGCCTTGCATGCGGGATCGTTGATTCCGGGAACATTTAAGGAGTAGTGGACTTGCTGCAACCATAGGTCGGCTTTCTTAGCCGAGCAGGCAGAAAACTGTAGACGCCAGTGGTGCCACGGCCGGGGTCCATGGCCGCACTTGATGGTTGCTTTCGCCCACCTTCCGTTGATGTGCTGCTTGAACACGTCGGGGTCACCAGTGTTGTGCTGCCACTGTCTTCCTTGGCGACAGAAATAGGTGGCAGGAGCTGCCCTGGTAATTCTCCTCAGCTGACCACTAGAGCCCCCGTGCAGGACAACGATAGCGTCTAAGCTTGCGTCCCAGGCCCGTGCTACCACCCGGCTGGTTGAGTCCGAGTGGCCGGGACAGCCACCTCCGCGTTGGTAGTGCTGATCTAGCCGGAAAAGTTTACCCAAGGCTGATTTTGAGTGGGCACCTCATGGCCCAGACCTTAGCAACACATTTTTTTTCTTTGGGGCCACCCGAAGGACAGAGTGTACGCAGGGAGACCCAAGACCATCACGGGGCTTAAGAAAGCTATCAGGGAGGAGATCAGAGCCAGTCCTCGGCCGGTTTGTAGTGACGTCAATAACCGTGCTGCGCCCCAAGAAATTCATGGAGCTAAATGGAGGTAGTTTTGCAAAGTGAGTTGGGGGAGGGAAGTGAGGAGACAGCTAAAAATGTCGTGAAACAATCCAAAATGCGTCTGAAATTATGTGTCCTCCCCATTTATCCCAGACAGTTTCTTCTCAAAATTTGGGACGGTAGGCAGAAGCCGCTCACAACTGAATAAGAAAGTGCATCACGCTATTTCAGTGCATCTGTCAATCATACAAGTGTTGTAATTGTCACTGAGCTGCTATGCTGTGCTTTTGCTGCTGGTCACGTCTATACGCCTTTCCGGGTTTTCAGCCACTGACAGCACAAGCAGCCTTAGCGAGCAAACTTGTTTTGCTTTGGAGATGTAAGTGGCCCATGTGTTATACGAGTACAGCAACGTTTGCTAACACGCTGGTGTTGACTGTGCCTTCAGTTAAAGGGAATGTTTCGCATTTGAAGATATTGATGCACACATCAGACATGATGCAACAACCTCACCTCTAATTGTTGATATACATTGTAAGTGGAAGATACTGCCCGAGACAGCCCAATTCTCTGTTTCATAAATATGGTCTTCACGGCGTCATGGTTTGCTAACATCACTGTACCTTGCAAAACATTGATTGGGAGCCAGGTAACGGCCGTTACATATGGAAATCGCGCTCACAAACGCCAGATATGGACGCCTCAGCAATAACATCTTTATTGGTCTTGATCGCCGTATGGCTTATGGAACGGCAGGATTTGGGTGGCATTGTCATTATGTCATAAATGCCAAGATGACTTTGAAATGCTCTCCTCGATATACCTTTCCCCATTTTCGCGTACGCGTGGCTCAGAAACTGGGAGGGTTCAGGTCTTAAGAAGGGCAGGGCTGCGAACTGTACCGAGTGGTCGCCGGAACGGCCTCCACATTGGGAACACGGATTGGGAACAGCACCGAAATGTCTTCAAAATGTCCTTTTCATGTCAAAACCTCATATAAACGCAGAATGCTTCCTTCCACAATATTTCTGCCCGAACATTTGTGCTGACTGTTTTACCAGCTTCGAATTGGGAACACATTATTGCGTGATAAGAAATTTGGCATGTTAATGCACCCCATATTAGTATCGTTATGAGCACGTTTATGCGAAAATGAAGCGCGGTTACTCGCCGCGTCCAGCGCAAGTGCCGTCGTGCCAAGCTCATAACAAGGTCTCTATGCCAAATTACCACACACAGGTCCTTCTCTACGCGCTTAATAACAAGCATCATGAAGCTAGCGGTGCAAACTGTGTCGGCTCTGCGTCGATTCGTTTTATACCTTGTAATGTTCACGTAAAGGGATTTTTCTCTCTCTCTCTCTCTCTCTCTCTCCTCTCTCTCTCTCTCTCTCTCTCTCTCTCTCTCTCCTCCCTCTCTCTCTCTCTCTCTCCTCTCTCTCTCTCTCTCTCTCTCTCTCTCTCTCTCTCTCTCTCTCTCTCTCTCTCTCTCTCTCTCTCTCTCTCTCTCTCTCTCTCTCTCTCTCTCTCTCTCTCTCTCTTTCTTTCTCTTCTGTTTCACACGACATTCTTGATTCTTGATGTGAATCGCGGTTTTGTGTTAACTCCGTTTGACACCGGACTGCAAAGCAGCCTCAGTCTGCTGGTTTGTGAATGAAATAAGCTTGGCTGCAGCAAATCCAGTCATGACTTCCCTTTCAGCGGTCTCACGCTGCACTATGCCAGCTAGCGCGATCTTCAGCTCAGCGATCTTAAAGGGAGTGTTTCATCTTTACATGGGGGATTGAAATGAAATAACGATCTTGAAGATCATTCGGTGTAGTTCACAGCCCTGCCCTTCTTAAGCCAAGCCCATTCCGTATCTGAGTTACACGCCCGCAAAGATGTGCAGACTATCTCAGGGGGACTATTTGAGGGTCAGAGGGTCCCTACGCCATAACAGCATCATTCAAATTGTGTCATTCAATTTGCCATACAGCGGACAAGGCTGATAAAATATAATTGGCGACTCGTTCACATCTGATGTTCATAAGCACGATTTCCAGATACAACGGCCGTCAAGTGCCTCCCAACCAGTGGTGTACAAGGTACGTTAACGTAATCCAAGCAATGACGTATTGAGGAGCATGCGTACTAATCAGTGAAGTTGTATTGTCTACAGGAGTCTTTTCCACTTAAAAGTATGCCGATTATTACTCGTGAGCTTCTTTTAAGACATGTGATGCTTGCCTTAGTACCTTCAAATGTGGAACACTTCCTTTAAGGACCTCTGAAGTTGGCCGGTCTGATTTTCATCTCGGAGGCTTTCAACGAGTACCAATGCCCTTTCCAGGCCAACCAGGACACAGCGAGCTGTGAACGCTTGCCGTCATCACGGACTGGCGGAATTATCCCGCGCAGGTACAGCCCGTTGAGATTGGAACGATGACAAGCTCGGTACCACCATGCACCCGTGTAGAGAGCGGCACAGTGGTGGCCCGCGCCATCATCGTTATCTCGGTCGCGCGTGCTGAACTGCTGGTTTGAGTGGTAGGTCAGGGAGTCACCAGCGTCGCCGGAGTAGGCGGACAGCTGCAGTCGGTACTGGTCCGCCTCATCGGCGATGCTGAAGGAGCCGTACTGGGCATGGCGCCGCTCGCCCTCGAAGTCCTCCAGGTCAACGCGCATCGCCTGTGGCTCGCGGGTGGTCAGCCGGTGGATCAGCTCGTTGCCGAGCCAGAACTGGCCCGACACGTTCCCGAAGCCGTCACGGTAGCTCTGCCAGTCGCGGAAGAAGTCGATCTGCACTGGGTCGTCCTGCCGCCGCTGGAACACGGTCCAGCCCCCACCGGCCGTCTCCATGTCACAGTACACCTGCACCGGCGACTCGTCCGGCGCCAGTCGCATCGGGTACTGCCCGCTGACGCTGACACCGAGCGACACCAGCTCGCTGCAGTCGCGGATGGCGCAGCGGCCGACGTCTTCCAGCGCCGACGACGAGCAGACGCAGACGCCGGCCTCGCAGGTAGCGCCTGGCTCACCCTGCCAGCACTCGGCGGCGGACAGACAACGCTCGCCCAGTGCGGCGCGGCCGTCGCGCACGAAGGCCGCCGCCGCCGTGGTGGTGGCGGTGCTGTTGCCGCGCCGGCGGGCCAGCCGGCAGGAGAGCTCGCCGCCGGCCTCGGCCAGCTCGGCGGCAGCGCAGTCGCGGTCGGCCAGACACAGGTGGCGGCAGTGGCAGGCCGAGCTGGCCGGCTGGCTGTCGTACACGGCGTCGGCCGGCGGCGACCAGTCGACCTGCGTCGCACGCCAGTACTGCAGCGTGCTCTCCCAGGCGACGTTGGATGGCGATGAGGAGGCGGCCGTCGCCCGCACCAGCAGCGGCACCAGCAACAGCGTCGACACGCGGGCTCGCACGTCTGAGGAGGGAACGGGCTCGTGGGTCATTCCCGCCACACAACGCACTTAACAGAAACTTGGAAGCCTGCCAGCTATGAAACGGTTAACAAAACTCACAGACTTCATTCGAGGCCCTAAAAGTGTTTCCAAATGTACCATCGTTGCAAGTCGAAACTCAGCTCCCAAATATTTCCCCTTGCCATGGTACCGCGGCTCAAAACCTGTCCGCCCTTTTCCGTTCGCTTCGTCTCACGCGCGAAGCTGGACGTGGAACGCGACGAGGCGGCAGGCGGTGGACGATCGTGGGAGACAGACGGCCCGATTCAGGAATGCCACAAGCTTAAGCTTATGTCCTTGATTCCTTTCAATTTCCACTGAAAGAAGTTTCAGTATTCTGCTACCTCCAGCACCCTTCCTTTACTTCTGCCGCTTCCCTACGAAAACCCAGTGAATCCTCCAGAGTATTTTTAAGTACACCCTAGCTGAAAACGTTGAACAGCCAGTGTCGCGCTATTTCCCATCGCAACGGTCGATCCATAGCGGACAAGCGTGGCAGGCTGCATCTGGAGGGGAAGCTCAAGCTCAAGCGACTCACTGGCCACGTCAGTTCTCAGGGATCATCGCGCAGCCGGTGCTCGAACCCGCGCCCGCGGGTAGGGGTCTAACACGCTAACCACTCGGTCATTACGCTCCGGATACCGGACAAGCAGTGTCCATGTCTCCTGTGCAAGCGGGTCTGGCGCCGTGAAAACCTCGAAATGAGATTCAGATCTGGAAGGTGGCATATTCCACTCACAGTGCTAAATTCAGTGCAAATGACGCAAAGGTCAACGTGTACTTTCATCCAAGCCAGAGTAATAAGGAGGGACAGCTGGCATTTGTCCCCAGCAAACGCGCTGAAGTGAAACTTCTTAGAAGGTAGCGATTAGAATCGATCATATGTCACATTTGTTTGTGTTGTCTGTGGCGTCAGAAGCAACAAACCGGAATTATTCCACGTGGACTTAAACCCAACATATGATGGTTCCCCACAACGACTAAATGTTGTATGGCAAATTTCTGCAGCAGCTAGGATGACACATCATCAATAACGCAGAAATGACCATCAAATGACCTGTTATTGTCACCAACGGTTTCAAAAATATTGAGATCCTTCAATGCTCCAATTTTAAAACTGCTGCAAACATCGCAGGATGTCACATTATTTTACAGCTTAAGAAGCTCGGTAACATTTTATAGCTACTTGCATTGTTCTCGCGAGCCACAAGAACTTTCTGAAAGAGGATTTCGGAAACATTGGAAAGGGATGCAGAATGTCGCAAAAGCAGTTTACCGCTAAACAAAGCAAGGTAGCAGGCTAAAAATATTTTCACTGCTCTCACAAGACGCAAGAGCTCCCTTAGCAAAGTTCTGAGAATCTTAAAGGTCTCAAAAATGTTGCACATTGCACAGAGCGCACCCCATTGCAACACTATGCGTATATACCACCACTAAGCTGTACGCGGCATGGCGCGTTACCTAGCGCACGCCCTTCTCGTCCCCGACACTGTCAGGCTGCCTCTGCATGGTGCAGGTCGCCGTCAATGTGTTGCGTCACCGCTATCAAAACGTGTCGGCGCTGCAAACAGCAGGTTCATTTGCGGAGCGCTGGTGGCGGTGGTATCAGATGATGCATAACACGTCCTCAGACGAGACGGAGCGCATTATCGGATGAGGTGAAACGCGTAATCAGATGAGGTGAAGCGCGTTATCAGATGACGTGGAGCGCGTTATTAGACAGAATGCAGAGCGATGACATTTCGCATGACAGACGCTTGCACCGTCCGTCGCGCAAGTGGCGTCCTTAGCGTTGCGTGACATCTGCCGGTGCTAAGGTTTTTATATCAGGGGGCTTTCGCGTGTCACGTGCTAAATTGAATGAATTAAAGGCGAAAAGACTAAACAAATATGTTAAAGCATGTTTAAGAAAGTTGTGTTGTGAAGCTTTTGTGCGCGAGAAGGCCAGATCGCTTTAATGGAAGGAAGATATAGTAATGTGTGGTTCACATGCACCCCATTAAACAACTATGCAGCAGTTGGCAGGGGCGAGGGCAGGAGGGGACCGGGATGTGCTTAGGCACCTACTTACAGAACCTTGCATACAGCAGAAGCATTTGATTTATGGGTGTTGGAAAAAGAATCAAACATGGCTACGCCATGGCATGGCTAAAGAATCAAAGATGCCCCCGCCCTACGCACTCATGGAATAACTTTCATTACCTAAGGTGGTTTGTATTTTCAATTTTAATCCAGTATGGGGCATGCTCTGCTTAGGTGAGTCATGTTGTATGAAAGGTTGTTTTATGTCACACTACTTTGCGCAAGGAGTTGATTTTCCCCAGCTGTGCGTGTTATGTATTTTTCATGCGATAAAGCAACAATGCCACTGTCCTACGTCTCGTATAATTATGGGACGTAGCCCAACCTGGAACGTCCTCCAGCCCAGGCTCTGACCCCAACCAGCCAAGCTGCTAGCCGAGATTGAATTACGCTCAACAGAGCGCGTGACCCTGTTGAAATGTGCTGCCAGTTTTGTGACGGCGTAAAGGCAGACAAATTCGCGTTGGTTCATTAACTTTCCACTTCAAGTGAGCCATGACAGTGATTTTGTACTTTATGATTGCGCTACATTGCTCCTAGTCACAAGTCAGCAGTGCAGCAATGGAATGGGGGAGGGGGAGGAGCGTCATACCACTTTGATGCTTTGCTTACTTGTGGACAACTGCCTTCCGTGCAACTTCATAGCAACTGTCACCAAGTTAGAGCCCTGGCTTGTTTTCTTAGCTTTGGTTTTGAAGACGTTTTGGAGAGAAAAGATGCATATTAGCCATATGAACGGCCAAAATGATCACTTTTGTATGCTTCCTTGCTCTAAATTAACTCACGTATGGAGGTTTCAGAGCATTTCCGATAAATTATACTGGCATGCGGTTATCATTGCTGAGTGATAGATTAATTGCTGCCACGTGTTGTGCCAACAAACCTTTGACAAGTTGAATGATTAGAAGGAATGTTCCACATTTGAAGACATGCCACATACCACAAAATTTACCACATAACAACGTCATTCAAACCCTGTCATTGCATTGCAGCAATACAGTGTTTAATGTCAAGACAAATACAAGTGTCATGTCGTCCATATCTGGCGCTTGCGAGCGCGATTTCTAGGTAAACCGGCCGCCAATCGGCTGCCAATCAATGTTGTGCAAGCTAAGCGCTTTTAACACGATTGGGTATTTAGATCGGTTGTTTGGATTAGAGCCCTTTCGGGCAGAAATGATCACTTCAGGGCTATGGGATGAAGGAGAATGGTTAACGGTGGGGCAGGTTTGCACGCGCCTGGGGGCCAAGCGCCGAGCTTTAACCTGTCCATGTGCGCTGGGTACTCTGTCGGGGTCCCCCCTCCCAGAGGGTCCCTCCGCCCACCCGTGGCTGACGCATGCAGCCTGTCCCAGAAAAGCGGAGAGTCGCGAGGATGCAGAATAAAGGAAGATAAAGGATAAGAGGGTCGGATGATGACTTTGATTTTGATTTTAATCTTGATTTTATTCGTTTCAGGTTTTTCGGCCCGTTCGTGCCATTTCACGCTTGAAAGGTATGATTTCGAATAGCCAGAGTCATTACGTGAGTGGAGAAAAAAGGTGACACGTTCGTTATTGACTTTAACAATGCGTTAGCCAGGCCGATAGTTCTGAGGAAATTGAAAACCAAGTCAAGCAAATGAGGATGGTCATCGACAAGAACTTTTTCAAATGAACATTGTGCCGACGGCAGCAGGCCGTCATATTATTACGCTCTTGCTGATATTTGGTGCGCTGAAAAATGAGATGCTTTACTGAAAGTGGATGATCGCGCAGCTGACAATGGGGACGAGGGCCTTTGGCGCGATCGCTGCCACCGGCCACAGACCATACCTGCCAAGCGCAAATAGCGAGCGCCCTAAAGCGGCTCGAACCCACCCTGCCATGGGTGGATAGATCGGAATGCAGGTGCTCCAACCAACTGAGCCACCGGGACGGCCCAATGCATCGCAATGTTCTGTATGAAAGCAAGAGAAAGAGATCTTTGCAATCAAGGGAACGACAGGTGTGTCATATCCACAGGCACGGCGCACCGTGGACTCAAAGATGTCCACGCAGCCAAACAAAACATATGCATAGGCAGCAAAAGTCACGATGGCCACACGCGGAACGCAGTCTGACTCCATTCTCCAACTGCTTCCGCTTAAGACTCTCACCCCCGCACCTCTGTCTCAACTGAGTCGACCACACAGACCCAGACGAATAATACTGTCTAGTCGCCCCTGGCTGGGCGTTCGGACGCCCAGGCGCTCGTACACACCAGTCCCAGTCAAGTCCCAGTCAGTCCCAGTCAGTCCCAGCCAAGTCCCAGTCAGTCCCAGTCAGTCCCAGTCAGTCTCAGCCAAGTCCCAGTCATTCCCAGTCAGGCCGCCCGGCTCCCAGCCCTCCGGCTACGAACGATCGGCAGCCTGGTCCCTCCGGCCGCCACACGGCCCCTCTCTTCCCCCTCCACAACACCTGTTACAAGCATGAGCGAAGATCGCCGGAAGATCGGAACTTTCCTTGGTTAGAATGTTCGGGGAGATATATACGACAGCAAACATTTTCCAATTAAACTTTGCACCACTTTTCATTCAGCCGCTGACGCAGTTTTGCAATTCACACCCCGCTGGAATTTACGAAAAGCAGACTGAGGCAAGTTTCAGGAGCATTGTTATGTCAACTAAGATCGTTACGAATTACCGGAGCAGGGTATCAACCTTATTACACACACCATTCATGCTGCAGCGACCGCGACAATGCCACTAACTAAACCCGTGTCACGCCACATTCCAGTACCATGGTGGACGACCAAAGTTAGAAATGTTATTGCACATTGGAAACGTACCTTCTGCGCCTTTCGTCATCGTTATGATGCACCTCACCTTCTTGCCCGAAATTACGAGCGTGCTCGAACCAGACGAATTATAAGACGTGTCAAACGTCATC